GCATTATATATATATATATATATATATATATATATATATATATATATATATATATAAGAAACAAATGTATATATTACACAAAGATAAACAATAGATAAAAGATAAATAATTGAACAAAAGATATACATATTATATAGGCCTACACAGTGCTTTAATTTTAGGAAGGTATACTAACATTACTGTTCAGGTATGAAAAAAGAAAAAGAAATCTAATAAAGTAAATCAAATATAAAATAACACTGCATAGTTTATCATAGATAAATTTGTACTTTTGAAACAATAATTTTCAGTTAATTAAATGCAGCCTTGGTGAGCAGAAGATACTTCTTTCAAAAGCATAAAAAAGTGTAATGTTTCTTTTGACAGATACTGTGTATATATAAACTAATGACAAGTTTTCTTGGATTTCAGGAGCGATAAGAAAGAACCCCGCTACAAGAGAGACAACAGAAGGGAGCCTCCAAGAAGTGGTTTTGAACTTTTTGAAGGGAGCTGCTGACAGAGAAGGGGCAGGAAACAACAGCGGGAAAACTGAAGGGGCTCAAATATTGTTTTTTAAAAGCTTAAACTTAAAAGTTTAATATATAATATATAATATATATATATATATATATATATATATATATATATATATATCAGGGGCGTAATTTATGGGGGGGTAATTTATGGGGGGGGTGGGGGGGGGGGGATAACCCCCCCAATATTTATACCATGATCACATGAAAAATATGCAGAACAATTTTTTTTAAACTATATTAAACATTACAACCCCCCCAATGTTCAAACCAAATCTACGCCCTTGATATATACACTCACCGGCCACTTTATTAGGTACACCTGTCCAACTGCTCGTTAACACTTAATTTCTAAGCAGCCAATCACATGGCGGCAACTCAGTGCATTTAGGCATGTAGACATGGTCAAGACAATCTCCTGCAGTTCAAACCGAGCATCAGTATGGGGAAGAAAGGTGATTTGAGTGACTTTGAACGTGGCATGATTGTTGGTGCCAGAAGGGCTGGTCTGAGTATTTCAGAAACTGCTAATCTACTGGGATTTTCACGCACAACCATCTCTAGGGTTTACAGAGAATGGTCCGAAAAAGAAAAAACATCCAGTGAGCGGCAGTTCTGTGGGCGGAAATGCCTTGATGATGCCAGAGGTCAGAGGAGAATGGGCCGACTGATTCAAGCTGATAGAAGAGCAACTTTGACTGAAATAACCACTCGTTACAACCGAGGTATGCAGCAAAGCATTTGTGAAGCCACAACACACACAACCTTGAGGCGGATGGGCTACAACAGCAGAAGACCCCACCGGGTACCACTCATCTCCACTACAAATAGGAAAAAGAGGCTACAATTTGCAAGAGCTCACCAAAATTGGACAGTTGAAGACTGGAAAAATGTTGCCTGGTCTGATGAGTCTCGATTTCTGTTGAGACATTCAGATGGTAGAGTCAGAATTTAGCATAAACAGAATGAGAACATGAATCCATCATGCCTTGTTACCACTGTGCAGGCTGGTGGTGGTGGTGTAATGGTGTGGGGGATGTTTTCTTGGCACACTTTAGGCCCCTTAGTGCCAATTGGGCATCGTTTAAATGCCACGGCCTACCTGAGCATTGTTTCTGACCATGTCCATCCCTTTATGGCCACCATGTACCCAACTTCTGATGGCTACTTTCAGCAGGATAATGCGCCATGTCATAAAGCTGGAATCATCTCAGACTGGTTTCTTGAACATGACAATGAGTTCGCTGTACTCAAATGGCCTCCACAGTCACCAGATCTCAATCCAATAGAGCATCTTTGGGATGTGGTGGAACGGGAGATTCGCATCATGGATGTGCAGCCGACAAATTTGCGGCAACTGTGTGATGCCATCATGTCAATATGGACCAAACTCCCTGAGGAATGCTTCCAGCACCTTGTTGAATCAATGCCACGAAGAATTGAGGCAGTTCTGAAGGCAAAAGGGGGTCCAACCCGTTACTAGCATGGGGTACCTAATAAAGTGGCCGGTGAGTGTATGTATATATATATATATATATATATATATATTAGGGTATGTAACGAATCGATACACGCGCGCATTGAACCGTTCGGTACGAGGCTTTCGGTATGCATTTTTAAACCAAACGGTTCGTTGGACCATTTTTCCTGCCAACCAAAATTTATTATTTTTATAACCTTTGGAAGCCAAAATCCAAAATAAAACCAGGCTATAAACTCATAAAAATCACTCATAAAGCAGGGCGGTCGTGTTGTGTGCACTGTGGCACCTCTCTCTCTCTCTCTCTCTCTCTCTCTCTCTCTCTCTCTCTCTCTCTCTCTCTCTCTCTCTCTCTCTCTCTCTCTCTCTCTCTCTCTCTCTTCTGGACTGCGAATAGCAAAAATGCATCACAGTTTAATATTATTGTATATAGCCTAGAAATGGCTGGCGAGATTAAAAAAAAACCCGTCTTTATAGCAATAATAGCCTAAATATAGCCTAAATAGTAGGCTACGTTAATTTTCTTATTTAATTTTTATACAGTACCGACAACCAGGCGCGTCGTTAGACATGGGCATTCGGGGCTTCAGCCCCGGATGTTTTTTTTTTAGCCCCGGATCTCAAAAAAATTAATTTATTGATAATTATTATTATTTTTTAATAATTTTGTATTTATATTAAAAAAATGACCGGGTCTTTTAATCTATCCTTCGGAATCATGTATTAAAGACGATTAAAATGTGTTCAAGCAGATCAAAGTTACTATGGTTACTAGTTACAGCACGCTTGCATTTAGAGTGCGCACCAGAGGAGAGAGAGAGCGTGAAAGAGCCATGTTTGTGGCTTCTGGTGGTGGTAGCTATTATGGACATTAGAGGGGGAAGGTAGCCTATACTATATACTATATGAAAACTATAGTATAATGTGAGATAGAAATACAAATTTAAGTCGTTAAATTCAAGATCACGTAAACGTTTCCCTCCGCTGCGGCTGTCAGTCATTCTCCATTCAGCATCAAACAGCGCGTTGCGTTTGGTTACGACAGTCAACGATGAAACTCTCTCCAAGATGATTCAATGTTACTATTATTATACTTTATCGGACGGTAGATAAAGCTATATGGTTTCACATAAAATGACTATATCTTGCTGGACTGTATTGCTTAATATTCGTTTCTACCGTGATCACACTGGAGAGCACTATAATTGTTCTTCACGCGCACATTAACTGAAATTTAAAACTGTTAAAAGAAAAGGCTCAATAAACTATTGCATAGATAGATAGATACTGTTACTGTACACTATGCATCGATATGCCTTTCCTTTGTGCTTTGAACTTTTCTGCGCGCTGTGACTGTGTTGCTTCAAGCGCATCATTCTGCGCTCGAGATGCGCATAAGCGCTGTGTGCCGCACATGAGTCTTTCATAATTATATCATAATACTTTTGCGCAATGAAAGATTATTAATAGCTTTTTTTGTTCTGTTCTGCCCTTTCTATCATATGTTGCTGCCTCATTAAACAGCTGTGCTATACATTTAAAAATGTCTTAATTGTATAGTAGACTATATATAGCCTATAATAATTGATCTTTCTGATTTTTATCTTGTTTTTCATGAATGTATTTTACAACAATACAAAGAGCAATGTGTAACGTTTTACCTGATTTAGTGCTACACTTATTTTCTCTTTGTTCCCCACTAAATAATGTTTTTTTCACTAAATGGTCAGATTTAATACTGTTTTTCTAGACTAAATTTTACTGAGTTATCCACTAATCTAGTTTATAATATAATTTTTGTCATAGGTTATGATCATATTTTTTTTTTTTGATTTGTTGTTTTTATTTATAATGAAGTTGTCTGTATTAAGTAGATTGTGTTTAACACACAAAAGAGTGATTATCAGTTTCTACTTGATTTAAAAAAAACTGCGCTGGTATTGGACCGGTATCGGTTGATACTCCGAATTTTTGGTATCGGATTGGATCGGTTCAGAAAAAATGATATCGGGACATCCCTAATATTTTCTGGTAGGCTATATCTAAGTTACCCAGGAGCTCTGTTGACATAGGCTTAGCTTGCATGAATTGAGTCGTTAAACACAGCAGGAGAGAACGCAACTATATATATAGTTTTATATTCATTTTTTTATATATTTAATATTCATGTATTATTTATTTGTGTTTCTGTGAATAGCTGTTGCAGTTCTACAAATAAAGCATTCTATCTTTTTACCTATCAATTAAATTAGCTACAAAAAATGCACCTGAATGCAGGAAATTAAGTGTTTAATGCCCAATGTTTCCTGGGGGAGGTCCCCCAGACCCCCCATTTATATTATTATTTCTTATTATTATGTGCCTCTGAGTTGAAGTAGTAGTTACCAAAAGCGGGGGTGGGTGGGTGGGTGGTGGGATGGGCTAAGCCCCCAATGTATCAAGACCCTAGCAACGCCCCTGCCGACAACAAAGCCGATAATGTCCGAGCTTATAACGTTACAGCAGTCTTTCAAAATTCAGCCCCGGGGCCCGTTTAATACCGGGTTTTGGTACCCATCCCATACTTACAACCAAACTAACTACAATCTGTTCCTAAAAGTCATTAGAAAATGAGCATTTAAGTGCTTTAAATTTTAAATCACAGATTTAAAATTGCTCCTACGGGCCCCTGCCTATAGGCTAGCTACTTGACATGTATTAGTGATTTCTTAAGTTATACGGACGTTGTTTTGTGACGCTATTTTGTATTGAAGTCTATGGGAAGTCTTTTTATTTTCCCCTAAATGTGGGCGTGAATCTGTTCAGAGACATTCTATGACGTTGCGCCGGTTGTGAGTAGTAGTTCTTCTGATGGTAACTCGGCAACTAAGCATGACTTGTATGATTGCGTAAAGGGGAACAGGTATTCCGGAAGGGGACAGAATCACTGCCTCACCTGCACAGAAGCGGAGCGCTGAAGAACTCGGAGAACAGAGGGCATAAATAACTCCTTAGATCATCTAAACACATCAATATGATGAGCGCATTTATCATTATTTTCCCTTTATTGTCGAGCGGTAAGTGTTGGTTTGTTTGTTTGTTTGTTAATGAACTTTCGGTTTCGCGCATTTTCTTTATAATAGCCTACTTGGTAGCCTACCAGAGTTTGGTGATTAAATAAATTCGATTTTTATCGAGGTGTGAGCCATTTATTTTTTATAAACTAAAACAATGACTATGTATGTAATATTTTAGACTAGACACACAGTAACATTTATTGCAGACAGTCATTCATTCACTGAATACCCACACCCAGCGCTCAAGGAAACATAGCTCATTTGTTCACTATAAAGTTTGTGAAAACGTTTTTCCCCTTGGCGCTTGCATTTCTGTTAATAATGGAAAGAAATATGCAAGCTTACTGCATAGCTGAAGTATTTGTGCACATAAATATCTGCGTGAGCTCTATGACAAACTTGTGCACGTCACTGGACTCTGAACATGCAGAAGAAAATATATGTATTGTCATTTATTGTTTAGTTTAGTATTTCATTTTAAGAATGAGATAATGATTATCTGAAAAGAAAATTGACAAACAGACCATTCATATTTTTATACAAGCTTTCCTTTGCTATTAGAGAAAAAATATTAAGATTTCAGATTGTTTCGATTCTGTGGTAAGGTGATTAAATCAGTGCAGCCATCAAGCAGACTCAGAAATCATTATATTTTTTGTTTGTATTGTATATATTTATAGAGCACTCAGGCTACACAGTAACTCCAAAGTGCTGTGCATTACAAGTGAATAAAGAAATACGTTTTCCCCTTGGCGCTTGCATTTCTGTTAATAATGTAAAAAATATGCTGAACATGCAAGCTTACTGCATACACAAAGTGTTTGTGCACATACATATCTGCGTGAGCTCTATGACAAACTTGTGCACATCACTGGACTCTGAACATGCAGAAGAAAAGATAGCAGAGCTTTAAATTTGTCACATCCTTGTGTAGTTGGTGGTGTATGAGCCAATCATTTGATGGTTTGTATAGGTTGCAAGTTATGTTGGAATAGCATCAGCTTGATGTGTTTGCTTTTGCCAGATCTGACATTTTGTATTGTCTTGTTTTGTGGCTTTGTAGAGTTTAGAAAGAATAAGGAGACATTTTAAGTAGTATTTTAATGTGGCTCAGCGAATAATCAAGGACCGGAACTATGTTTTATATGTATATCACTCTTATGTTATTTATTTTTGAATGCTTAAAAACAAACAAACCAAAAACATGATGGACAAATCAGTAGACCTTTATTCATGCCTTCATTAATGTAGACACAGATCTAATGCAAATATCAGCAAGCATGTGATATTTATTAGGCAAGACTAAACGACCTAAGAGTGTTCTCTAAGTCTCATCTATGACTGTTTCTGTTTGCTGTCCAGGTGTGTTTGGTGATGATGATGTGACAGTGATGGAGGGAGATTCAGTCACTCTACATGCTGATACAAAAATACAGATAAAGGAAATTGACTGGAGGTTTGGAGAAAATCTCATTGCTTCAATTGATATTGAGACCAGCTATATATCGTTTGAAGGACCTTCAAAAGAGAGACTGAAGCTGGACAATCACACTGGAGATCTCAAAATTACCAACATCAGAATCTCAGATGCTGGATCCTATAATCTACAGGTCAACAGTGAACAGCCACCATCAAAGAAATTCACTGTCAATGGTGAGTGTGTCAGTTTTGTTTATTTAATAATTATTTATTCCACAATTATTTATAATTACCCTTCTCTGATTTAATTGTTAAAGGACTGTCATTTATTGTTTAGTTTAGTATTTTCATGTTAAGAATGAGATAATGATTATCTGAAAAGAAAATTGACAAAAAGACCTTTCATATTTTTATACAAGCTTTCCTTTGCTATTAGGATTTTTTTTTTTTTAAAGGGATATTTCAGGATTTAGCATTAAGCTTTGTATTAGTAGAAAACCTGTAGTATTTTCGAATTACCGTGCTTTCCACCCTCATATCCCCCTGAGACGAGAGATTGATGTATTTTTTGTCTGGAAAAAATCCTCTGATGACGCAAAAAAACATCATTTTGCGTCATTGGAGGATTTTTTGGCCAGAGGCTAAAGATTACAGTAGTAGAGGCTGTCCCGCATGTTCTCAACTCGCCCATAGAGGGTGGGATCTCACTCACAGAATGTACACATAGTGTCAGCCATCTTTTTTTGGAAGCTAAGCTAACAGGCTCTTGTTCTGTGGAGAAAGCTGAGTAGTAGGGGTTACCATCCTCTTTTTCCCGGACATGTCCGGCCGGACATGTCGATGTCCAGGATTCAGCTTTTACTCTCTGCAGTCACCATTCATTGTTTACATGCACACCTTTTGTTTCAATCTAACTGAATTCATTCCATTGGTGAGTCTGAATGAAGTGTTTACATGAACGCTAAACAAGTGATCGGTTGATGTGCGTTTTAACATTGCTAAGAAAATTCCCGCTCCTCCGTGAGAGATACGAGAGCGGTGCGTCTCACAGGTGTCGCTCATCGGTAATCACGCCACCGGCCTCGCGCCGTTCTCCCGCGGCCCTCACTCGTCCTGCTCGCCACAGTAAACATGATGAATGGCGACTGTAGAACGCAAAAGCCGAATCCCGGACATTTTGGGCGATCTCGAAACACATTTTTGGGCAGACTCATCACGGAGACTCACTAGTAGCCTAGACTTGTTGTTTAACTACTGCGCTCTGTTACCGGTAGGCGTGGCCTCCTAGGGCAGTGAAGCTAGTGCATTCTGGGAGTTGTTGTCTTTCATCCACATAAGCCAAAAATACATTTTCTGGCTTTTCTCAGTCTAGAAAGCTCCAAATTCAAAAATAATTTCACATTTCTTCTACATAAATGACCCATTTTAAATACACATTCATCTTTCCAGAGGTGAAGTATCCCTTTAAGATTTCAGATTGTTTCAATTCTGTGATAAGGTGTAAGGATATCCACTGAAGGCAGGCTCGTAGAACCCAAGTGCAGTTTATTGACAACATTAACAAAACAAAAACATGGCATGAAACATAAAACAAGTCCAGGACATGACACTTACCTACAGAGATTACAGTGAGATAATAATAGACCAAGACACATGGCAAACATGAGGGCTTAAATACACACAAGACTAATGACTAGACAAGGGACACCTGTGAACAATGAAACAATGAACCAATGACAACATGACACATCAGCCAAGGGAACACATGGCAGGATCACATGACTTACAAGGGATCACATGACAGAAAAGGAAACATGACATGAACAAACCAAAACGTGACAGAGATAAGACCAAAATTGTGACATAAGGTGATTAAACCAGTGCAGCCATCCGGCAGACTCAGAAATCATAACATTTTTTTATTTGTATTGTATATGTTTATTTATAGAGCACTCAGGCTACACAGTAACCCCAAAGTGCTGTGCATTACAAGTGAATAAAGAAATAATAAAAATGAAATAAAAACAAACAAAGAGAGAGAGAGAACCGGTATGAATCTAAGCAGGACTTGAAGGGACGATCTAACCTCAAAAGGCAGGCTTTTCCATAATCTTGGGCCAGCGGCAGCAAAAGCGTGGTCACCCTTAGATTTAAAACACACTCTTGGGATCATTAAGAATAGGTTTTTTTTAGGATCTCAACATTGCATTTGAATTATAAGGGTTAATTAGCACAACCAAATATTCTGACAACATTCCATGCAATGCCTTAAAGCAACACTATGTAGTTTTTCGACCTTCATAATATATTTCCAAGACCCTTGTGATGGTACATCGACTTACAATAGGTCGAATGACACGTCTGCCGTAGCCTGACAGTGTCTGTATCGCTTTTACTGGCACTACGTAACTTCGGGGTTCGGGTAGTAACCCGAGCACAAAAAGAACTACAAAATTCGACTGCTTTACGGCATACCTCACTTCCCCCTCAACCCCCTACTTCCTCAAATTCTGACGTGAGAGCCCAACTAGCGTTTGTTCGCCGTCTGTATGTTGTTGTCATGGCCGAAGCAGCAACTAAAACGAAGAAGCCAAAGGTTTTGTCGGAGGAGACTAGAAAGAGAATAAGGGAGGATGACAAAATAAAAGGCCGGACGAGGATCAATATTGGTCCAGCGTTCGCTCGCTGGCGTGAGCTAAAGGAGGAGGAGGGGTGCCCGACCGATGCTGTATTATGATGAAGCCCCTTTTCTTAGAGAAAAAAAATCATAAGTAAGCCTATGTCTAAACGGCGTGTACAAATGCTTCTTGGCATGATTTATTTGTTTTTTACATTTTATAAATGACAATTTTTTTATACAATTTTCTAGAAAGATGTCAGACTCTTAATTATTATTAGGCAAATACAAATATTAACTCTTCGGGGTCGCCGATCACGCCGACGTGATCAAGTCACATGACCAGTTTAAGACGTCAAAGCATAAAACCAAATGCTGCGTCCCAATTCGCATACTATCCGTCCTAAATAGTATTCGAAAATAGAATTAGTACGTCCCAAATCGTAGTATGTTGAAATGAGTGTCCCAAAGAGACCCAGATGGTCTACTATATCCGGTCAGAATCCGAAGTGCAGATCGTTGCGCACTCTAACGGCTGATATTGCCCACAACCCATCGCGCGTTGGACGAGGATTCGGTTAGAACTACAATCACGAGTGAAAAGTGTACAAAAACTACAGACATGGAGGACGAGCGACCGACGGTTATGTAGAGAGGTTTAGATAAAGGGGTTTGAGTGATTAATTATCAGTATCTAACCTGACGAAAATGTATTTATTCAATGTTGTCCACATTATATTGCATCTGCAGCAGCATTGTGAACTTTTGCATAGATACGTTTAGCCATTAACTTTTAAATGCAACGTGCGACAACAATTCTCTCCGAAATGGTAAGAAGTTATGATTGAATGGAGGATTTTAACTGTGACGAGATGATTGACAGGGCAGTTTACGGTGATTTGATGCACGCGACAGATCTGTCCGTTAAAGATGACGAAGTAGTATGTCCCAAAGCTTGCCTACTCTTTTGCTACACACTCAAAAGTATGTACTTTTTCTTCACAAAAAGAGTACATACTTTTAGGGCGTAGTATAAGTAGGCGAATTGGGACGCAGCAATCGTCACGTTGAGCGCTGCCGTCCACTTCTGTCGAAAGTGCTGGCTTGAAATTCTATTTGAGATATGATCATTTAAACTTTATATAAAAAAAATGTATGCGTTCGTAAAAGAACGCAAGATGGGATGCGACAGGCGTTGCATTTATTCTAATAACTTTGTCGGTTTTTGTCATAAAACACAACGGAGAAAAATGTGTGCATCTGCTGACTCTGCTCTTCAGGCTGCACATTTTAGGGAATGGAGGAGGAGCCAACTGAGCAAAGAAGCGAAATTGAAAGGCAGGAGATTTACGGAGTAGACAAAGAGAGAATATATACATTATATATAGAGAGAGAGATCGTTTTTGGAAGAGTTTGAGTAGATTTTGAGAGTAGTTTAGGAGTAGTTTAGGAGTAGATTTAGATAAACTGTTTTGAGGAGTGGCACAGATAAAAATAATTTAAAAAAACAACTGATATTTGTAGTAAATAGTTGTATGTATAGTTTGATTTTGTGTTCATTTTACTTTTTGTATGGTATATTTGCACTATTGAGGAACCCCTCTTACTCAAGGAATGAAAGCCCTGTAATGTAGCTATCTGTGTAATTGTACATGAAGTATTTTGTAGAGTTTCAAAGCAAAAAATGCCTATTTTAACTTTTTTATGTTGTTTTTGCACTATTTGGGAACCCTCATACTCTGGGAATGCAAGGCCTTAATTATAGCTCTCTGTATAATTGTGTGTACAACATTTTTTAAAAAGTGGCAAAGCTAAAAAAAAAAAAAAAAAGCCTATGGCTACACCCGCTTTTTTTTTAAATATAGCTTGATTATATCTGAATTGTACCTGTATATGTTGACATTTACAACTTGTGTTTACATTTTAAACCTTTTGAAATGCTTCATTGAGCATGTTTTGTAGTAGAAAAGCTATAATTTTTCTATTCGGATTTTGTGTTTTTTGTGTGATTTTGGGTCCAGTATGTTGCAGTACATCAAAGTGAAAAACTAATTGTCTGGTCATATAGGTGATGTTGTGCTGAAAAAACAAACAAAAAAAAAAAACATTGGTATGGTAAACATTTGTTTATGTCGCAAAATAAAAAAAATAAAAAAAGTACTCAAATGGCCAAAATAGCCCAAAGACTCCGAACGGTTAATAAAAGTTATGCATGACGATCAATAATCTTAAATATGGAAATCTGGCTTACACATTACACTCTACTCCTCCCACTTGACACATTTTTAATATACTCTTTATAATTTATACTCTTCAAGCACATCATCTCCTTTTGATTTTTCTATTAAGCCAGCATGATACATCTGTAACAACATTAAAGTAATAATTTACTCAAATGTAATTCCAAACCCACGTGACTCAATTTTGCTGAACATAAAACACACTTTAATGCTTAAAAAAATCAACCGTAAAAATAGTGTCAAAGTAGTTTATACGACTCGTGTGCCATATTCCAAGACTTGTGAATGCACAAAATCACTTTGAATGATGAACAATTTAACTCACTCAATATTGAGTTTGAATATATTGAAAAGGGTTATTCTCAAACTAAATGGATGAAAACAGCACTCAAATCCAATAAACCGACACATCCACAATCAAAACTCACCGTTCAAGCTTCGTGATAACATATTTGGCAGCCCGTTCTCATCGGAAGGCGTCATCTAACTGACGCCAGCTGACGCTTTTGACCATGCGTCAACATGCCGACGCACATGGCACCCTTTAAGCGTCAATATGAGACGCGCCTCCTAGTGGTCTAACCCTAACCCTACCCCAGACCTAAACCTACCCATAACATCTGACTGACGCTAAAGGTTGCCATGTGCGTCGGATTTAGACGCATGGTCAAAAGCGTCAGTCAGATGACGCCCGAGGATGAGCGTCTCATATTGACGTTTAAAGGGTGCCATGTGCGTCGTCGCCTTGGGATGAGAATGTGTTGTATTTGGTCATAAGACATGCATGAACCAATTAACAATATTACCATGTTAAATTAGTCCAGTTTACAATGGTTTGATTTGACAGTATGATGTTTCAAAATATTGTAAATGAGGTAAAACACTTCCAGTACTTTGGAAGTTTCCCTGTTAAATGCACCTTCTCGTCTGCTTCCCACTGTAAGTCAAGGAAAATGTCTCTGAGAAAACTCAAGAAGCGAACAGCACATAAATCTCGTTCTAAATCAATATGATGTTTTAAAAATACACATTGAAATTCATTAACCTACTGGTGTTTTCAGTTAAAAGCTCTTCCTTGTCATGCTCCAGACAAGTTTCGGCTTGTTTAGGTGTGCACAGCATATAAATATCGGTATAAATCAATATGATGTTATAAAATACATATTGTAAATGAGATAAAATACTTACTTTTCTGAGTTTTCCCTATAAAAAGAAGTCACCTCGTCTGCTCCACACCGCGAGTCAAAGAAAGCGTATCTGAGAAAAGTTTAGGTGCGCACACACAGCACATGGATATAGTTATACACTATGATGTTATAAAATACATTTCTTAAAGGGATAGTTCACTTTGAAATCAATTTTTGATATGTTTTAGCTTACCTCAAGGGCATCCAAGATGTAGGTGTCTTTGTTTCCACAGTATTTTCAATTTGGATATTTTTAGGTCAAACCGTTCTTGTCTGTCAGTCATATAATGCAGGTCTATGGTCACCACCTCAAAGAGCATGCACAGAGAAGTCCAAATTAAACATGATTTAATGACTCGTAAATGTAAGTACACATTGATGGCCTAAGACACGAAACGAGCGGTTTGTGTGAGAAAACGAACAGTATTTATATCGTTTTTACCTCTTGTAATCACAGTCACGTCCAAGTACTCTGAGAGGGTGTGGGCGCTTCGGTCTGCGCAAGCGCCGGAAAGCGCCGGAAAGCCTCGGAACATTGTCTGTTGATATCCCGAAATCGTCTTCCATTTTGATTTCCTGTATATCTAAATATGTTTAGATCTTCACAGTGAAAGGTAAAACTTCCGAAACCTCTGTGTAAACAATGAGTGACGTACACGCGCGAGAGATCACTTCCGGGGCTTTCCGACGCTTGCGCCCTCAGAGTACTGGACGTGACTGTGATTACAAGAGGTAAAAACGATATAAATACTGTTCGTTTTCTCACACAAACCGCTCGTTTCGTGTCTTAGGCCATTAATGTGTACTTACATTTACGAGTCATTAAATCATGTTTAATTTGGACTTCTCTGTGCATGCTCTTTGAGGTGGTGACCATAGACCTGCATTATATGACTGACAGACAAGAACGGTTTGACCTAAAAATATCAAAATTGAAAATACTGTGGAAACAAAGACACCCACATCTTGGATGCCTTTGAGGTAAGCTAAAACATATCAAAAACTAATTTCAAAGTGAACTATCCCTTTAAATCAGTTAAAACACTTAATTTCTGTGTTTCCGTCCTCGTATGCACCGCATTACAAGTCAAAGAAATTGGCGTCTATAAGAAAAGTTGCTCGTTTAAGCACATAAATGTCCCGGATGTAACTAAATACACTCACAGTGTTAATGAGGTTTAACTCTCCAGCCAGAGGGTGCTGTTTACTCTAGCCATGCTAATACATTGAAATTCAACACCAGAAATGTACCTCTTTACTCTAAGAGTCCTTAACACCAGGATTTTAACTCTGGCGATTTTGCAGTGTAGCACTTCTCATGTTATTGCCTCCTTAGAAGAATGTAACTTACTTGATGTTATGCACACATTCTCTTCTAAACGTTGTTTGTTGTCACTTTATCCAGTAAATCTCTTTCCAGACTCAAAATGTGATTTTGGACTAATGAAGATCTGAATAGCTGCATTATAGTCGTATTAACTACTAAGAATAGTAACTATTCCTGTTTCTTCTCCAGTTGTGTCTGTAGATCAAATGCCGTCAGTGCTCATGGGAGAGTTTGTCACTCTAAACACTGGTGTTTTTGAGCCAAAGAAATATGATGTGATACGCTGGAGGTTTGGAGATCAAAAATCCTCTATAGCTGAAGTCAATAGAGCGTCTGGAAACACCTCTAAATATGTTGCTGATGGGCGATTCAGAGACAGACTACAGCTGGACTATTGGACTGGATCTCTGACCATCACACACACCAAACCCACAGACTCTGGAGAATATGAAGTTGACATAATTGCAAGCAGCAGAGAGACCATACACAAGTCATTCAGTGTGACTGTCAGCGGTGAGTACATCAAGTCTTTCAGTGTAATAATACATTTATTTAGATCAGAATTGTGTGAACATTTTAGATTTAAATCAGCACATGTTTGTGCTGAATTAAGTTAATTAATATTGTATCCTACTGACTCTTCTGACTCTCTCTAACAAGATTTATGAAAATTATTAATTATATCTTGAAATGAAATTGATAAGGACATATTTCATGTATGTATTTCTTGAATGCTTGTTGTGTCTCTCAAAGAGGTTTGGGGGAAAATACTAAAAGATGTTTGTATAGGAAATTCTATTATTGAAATTTTAACAAAAAAACAAGTTCTCTCATTTGAGACAAGCAGGGTTTTTTTTATTAATATGCAGTGAAAAAATTATACATTTCAATGGTTGGTTATTGATCATTTCACTAATGATCACACTTGTAGTATCCTGGAGTAACCACTTGGTGTCATTTGTGTATTACAAGTGTTGTGTTCTATCCTGGAAAAGTCAGTTGAAGAAGATGTGCCATGCGGGAGGCGATATTTTTTTTCACAGGATGGTAGGGGAAGACTCATGAATATTCATTAGGGAACTCATCCCTGATTGGTCTTAACCCCAGTGACGGGTAGGTTTAGGAGCGGGGTTAGGGGTAGGTCATCAGACCCCCAGTGACGGGTAGGTTTAGGGGCGGGGTAAGGGGGTAGGTCATCAGACCAATCAGGGATGAGTTCCCTAATGAATATTCATGAGTCTTCCCCTACCATCCTGTGAAAAAAAATATCGCATGCGGGAGGCTTGAAGTATTATTGCTGTAACTGTTGCAAACAGAAAGTAAAGTACTAACTTCAACTCAATTAATGTAGTAGTCTGATTTATATGGAAGATATTACTACACTGATACTATCTGTTGGTCCGAGAAAGTTTAAAAATGCAATTTATTTGAATGCTTGTTTATAATTTTCTCAGTTGACACTTTCTTCCCAAGACAGTAAAGTGAAGTTCTTCGTCTGTGTTGTAAGACACTAATGCATTAATAATGTTATAGATATCGGTAGTAGATGTTTTAAGACTGTTGGCATGTTTTCAAAGTAAATTTAACCATTTAATCTGAATTACTACTTATAATGTTGTAATTTAAATCAATCAAACAGATGCTGTAACAGTAAAACAGCGAATGAGGAAATCATTATATCAGATGTTACCTTAGATAGGCGTGAGATGCTTCTTATTTATGATTCAGTTTAAACAGAATTACATTCATATTTACTAAGTTTCAGTCATAGCTTATTCATAGTGGGGTTTTTTTTATAAATCAGATACATTCATTTTAAAGGGATGGTTCGGAGTAATTTCAGCCTTGGGTCCTTATTTAACACGTATAAATGATCTTCGCTGATTACAGTGAAAAATATATGCTCAATTTAACAACACAAGCACCTATTAATTATACTGCCATAATAGTAGTATTGTATAAATATTAATATTTGTATATGGTCCTCGAATATGTTATATTTCACCAGTATAATCAGCATTGGGAGTATTTGCGCAACTTGCAAACTTGCGACTTGATTTTTATAGGCTACTTCAAAACGTTAAATTGATTTTACGTATGATATGATATTGTTTTAAGAGTGTAAAATTATATTTAAAAAATGTATCCAATTATATGTTTCACATTCTTTCTGGGAAAAGAAAGCATCGTATCGAATATTTAACAATTTATTTAATTCTCGCACATCACATTTTTCTTCAATATTGGGCAGCCCTAATTGATAACATTAATATAGTTAATTACAATGTTGATCACATCAAAATGACATGTTTTTTTTAAATGTATTTCTCTTATTTTTAACTCTTTCTCCACCATTTCACTGTTATACGGTAGGGGGCGCTATTACACATCTTCTGAAAGAGTGCAGAATCTCCTGATTAAAACACATGCGAGGCAGATGCAAAAACGAGATATGTCATATGTAATCAGATGCATATGTAAAATAACGCAATCATCAATATTAAACCGCATATCAAAAATCAAAACTGCCTAATGTTACTGAATGAAATGTCGACCCAGGACGAGCTACAGGACTGAAGCTTTATGGGTGTTGATGGACTCGATCTACTTAATCTGTGTTTTCATCATCATTCTGAATCCCACAATATATAGTTTCCTCAGACTCCTCCTAACTAAGAAAGTAAAATTTAAGTAATATGGAAGAAACTAATGCACTAATCATTTATGTTAGTTAGTTATTATGAACATGTCAGAGCTCATCTGTATCTGCAGTAAATGCTTTAACACTGTTGGCATGTTTCTGAAGGTTTTTAAACTGTTTAATCTGAATTACTGTTTGTAATATTTTCATTGAGACAGTCGTGTGTTCACATCAAACTCCTGCTGTAAAACAGCAATATAGAAGATGAACAGTGGAAAGGAGAATCATGATTTCTGAAATTACATTAGCGGCTCATTTATGATTCACCTTTAACAGAATCAGATTCATATTTAAATAGATCAGACTGACAGATTCACTCACACTGATGACTCTCTCTTTATCATCACAGGTCCAGGTCTGTCTGCAGGTGCTATAGCAGCGATCGTTGTTCTTGCTCTGCTGGCGTGTGTAGCTGGAGCTGGTGTGTTTTACTATCGCCGCAAGATCTCTGAACTAAAAAAACAAGCACGTGAGTATTACAGCTGATAAAGCAAGAGAAATACTGAGCTTTATTATGCTACAGTAGAGATTTAAAGTGTAGAATGTTCATAATCATGTTTCAAACATTTTACATTTGTATGTGTGTGTGTTGTGTTGTAGTTTTCTCATAAAAGCAAGGTTAGAAAGAAACAATCAATACACAGATATTAAAGAGCACTGACCTGTGGGTTTGTTTTTGTATTGTAAGGACCACCCATCGGCCCAACGACGGAACCCAGTGCTGTGGGCGAAGGTATGATGTGTGTATGTCTTTTCAGCGCTTCGGTGAAGTTCACCTTATTTATTAGAATTTATTTTCAATATTACTTTAATCTGTTAATCTGACTCCAATTTCGAATGATAATCAAATTTAGATTGTGTTTCTTATTAGAAAATAATCATAAATATTGATTATGATTTAATTTAGATCTTTGATTATTCTCCCATATTTTCAAATATTTATTCATTAAAGGAGAACTCCGGCGCAAAATGAGCCTTTGGTCTAATAAAACATTGGTACCTAGTCAACCGTTCTCTGAGATTTGTTTTCATGATAATCGAATGTAAAGAGTTTTATCTCTAAAAACTGTTTAGCGTATAACGCTAGTTATGGGGGCAATTTATAAGTAAAAAGAAATCGCTAGTTTATACCACTAACAAGGCTCAAAATAGCCGCACAATATCACAGCAACATAATGAGGGTCCCTACATGCAAAACGAAGCATTGAGAACTTTGTAAGTGTACAGACCGTTTAATAAGAAGATATTTTATAAAGACAGTCCACTTCGCGTATACAGACAGGAGCCATCTTAGGAAAACAGTCTCGACTAGTCAAACCACGAACGACGTGCTAAGTGAGCTGAACTGTATGAAGTTCAGTGAACTTCTGAACTGTATGAATGGCGTTCGTGGTTTGACTAGTCTGTGAAATCAGAAGGTCTCCTTATGCTTCATTCATTAGTGCCTTCGGTGTGATCTTATCCTGGACAGAGATTTGCAGGAATACCAGACTGCACATTAATCTACTAGAAATAATGATTTCAGAATAATGCAGAATAAATCAAATCTAATATTTTATTTGTCAGGTAAAAATGTATCATGCCAATTCCACAAGTAAATGATTAAAAGCCAATTCAGAAATAATAAATACATACAGTACCCTCAATTGCTCAAAGATGACTCTAAGAAATGCTCCTGACAGAGACACACAGTTGTGTGTGAGTGTATTCCGAGTGCAAGACTGGAGAAGCCACTGACACACACTGCATGGGCGTTTCCCAAAGACTGCTCTGTCACTTACCCTTATATACCCAGACCAGAACAAAAGGCTTGTAGAAATATATTTTAGAGTTGTTTTGGGTCTATTCGTGTACCCCAGGGGGTAACACCTGGTTTCAGAGGAGAGGGGTGGATTATCAGATCTTGCAGAGACACCACCCAAAGAGGAGAACATGATTCTCCTGAGTGTTCAATCTTTCTCATAATACCAATGACTGCAATGAAATTAAGACCATTTTACTAATTGCATTGAGGCATTTAAAATGATACCAAACATGAAAAGGAAAAACAATAGATTCACAAGATACGTCATATGTGATATATAGGCATTCTTAGTGAACGTTTGGTGAGTTGACGCAGGGGGAGAGGGGAATGCAGAGATAAGGGAAACATTTTTGGACAGGACAATGTCCTGTTGCTCTGTCTTTGCGATCTTCTGTCCGGGGTGCGTTTTATGGCTTTATTGCAGTGTGAGTTTTATTTTAACAAGAAAATCCGTTCTTAAGTGCTCTGAATGCATTTTTATACAACTTTAAACATCACATTTATTGTTGAGTGGCAATTTATTGTCACAGTGTCTGGTTGTGTTTCCCTGGGTTGTCACTAGAGGTCCTCGTTCTCACGGTGTCTTTTACATTTGACTTCATTTCCCAGCATTCTGTCTGTCACTCATCAGTTCATTGCACTCAGCTGTTTCCCATCACCTTGTTAGATCTGTGTGTATATATTCCCTGTCTGTGTTAGTATTCGTTACGGAGTCCTTGTTATATGTCGCCACTTCCGAGGTCTGTTTACCTGCTTGTTTTTGTTCTTATGTTTTGATTGATTTTTGATATTTGACCCCTGCCTGGATGGCTATGATTTTGGATTGCCCTCATTATTAAACTTACTGCGATTGGATTTTCTGCTTCCCGTGTGTAGTTCGTGACAGAAGGACTCCGTCAAAACCAAGATCCAGCGGTATGTTTTTTAATATCTCTTTCCCAGCCACCGAGCGGGAGAGAAGGGAATTGTTTGAGGGGACCCGGTGTTCTGACGATTCATGCTACCCATCGAGATTTGCTACTTACTGGTTATGCGCATGTGCAGACTCACAGTTTTTTTTTTTTTACAAAAGGTAAATTTTCATGTGTTATAATGTAATTTCACTTTAAAAAATGCTAACTACCATATGAATATTTGTACGGTCAGCCAGCTGAACAAGAATAACTGAAAGTTTCAGTTACTAAGGAAAGGTGTGCTTTGACAAGTCAAAGATTAATATTTGTTGATAATTTTTACTTTTCACACCGTTTTAAAAATAAAAACAGTAGCCTAGTCTACAGTATACAGTAGCTACTCATAACTTAGTATTTCATATAATATTAATCAACATTCTGTGATCGATTCGCGCTACGGTAGCATTTTTCGACAAGGCAGCACAAATCGTCAGAACGGTTAGTCAAGTTTTGCGGGACCCGTGGAGGTCGCAGTGGAAGAGGTGGTCGAGAGGAATCCCAACACCATTTTCCACTCAGGCCCCTCTTCAACCCTGGGCTGGTGAGATCCAGTCCTGAGTTTCATCCGGCGCTGTTTCCGTCCAGCCCAGAGCACGCACTTCACCAGCAGAAACGGCGGAGGAGGAAGACCTCTAGCCTCCCCAAAGGCCTGGAGGCCGTGTTCCAGCAGCCCGCCACTTTTCTGGAGGCTGATTCAGAGATGGTTCACGTCACGTCTGCCCAGCCAGAGACTGTTCAGGTCACATCTGCCCAGTCGGAGATGGTTCACGTCACGTCTGCCCAGCAAGAGAATGGTCACGTCCCGTCTGCCCAGCCAGAGACGGTTCACGTCACGTCTGCCCAGCAAGAGAATGGTCACGTCCCGTCTGCCCAGCCAGAGACGGTTCACGTCCCGTCTGCCCAGCCAGAGACTGTTCACGTCCCGTCTGCCCAGCCAGAGACTGTTCACGTCCCGTCTGCCCAGTCAGAGACGGTTCACATCACGTCTGCCCAGCCAGAGACTGTTTACGTCCCGTCTGCCCAGCCAGAGACGGTTCACGTCACGTCTGCCCGGCCAGAGACTGTTCAAGTCCCGTCTGCCCAGTCAGAGACGGTTCATGTCACGTCTGCCAAATCAATGAAGGTTCATGTCACGTCTGCTCAGTCAGAGACTGTTCACGCCACGTCTGCCCGGTCAGAGACGGATCAGGAGATGCCCATTCGCGTGGCCGCGAGGACACTGATGGACTATTTGGAGTGTCTGGCTTGGATCCTGGACATGCCTGTGTTCGCTGTTCCGGAGCCGGAGCCAGTGTCTGCTCCTGGTCGGGAGCCAGTGTCTGCTCCTGGTCGGGAGCCGGTGTCTGCTCCTGCTCCTGAGCCGGTGAGCCGGTGTCTTGTCTGCTGCTCCTGAGCCGGTGTCGTGTCTGCTGCTCCTGAGCCGGTGTCGTGTCTGCTGCTCCTGAGCCGGTGTCGTGTCTGCTGCTCCTGAGCCGGTGTCGTGTCTGCTGCTCCTGAGCCGGTGTCGTGTCTGCTGCTCCTGAGCCGGTGTCGTGTCTGCTGCTCCTGAGCCGGTGTCGTGTCTGCTGCTCCTGAGCCGGTGTCTTGTCTGCTGCTCCTGAGCCGGTGTCGTGTCTGCTGCTCCTGAGCCGGTGTCTTGTCTGCTGCTCCTGAGCCGGTGTCGTGTCTGCTGCTCCTGAGCCGGTGTCGTGTCTGCTGCTCCTGAGCTGGTGTCGTGTCTGCTGCTCCTGAGCCGGTGTCGTGTCTGCTGCTCCTGAGCCGGTGTCGTGTCTGCTGCTCCTGAGCCGGTGTCGTGTCTGCTGCTCCTGAGCCGGTGTCGTGTCTGCTGCTCCTGAGCCGGTGTCGTGTCTGCTGCTCCTGAGCCGGTGTCTTGTCTGCTGCTCCTGAGCCGGTGTCGTGTCTGCTGCTCCTGAGCCGGTGTCGTGTCTGCTGCTCCTGAGCCGGTGTCGTGTCTGCTGCTCCTGAGCCGGTGTCGTGTCTGCTGCTCCTGAGCCGGTGTCGTGTCTGCTGCTCCTGAGCCGGTGTCTTGTCTGCTGCTCCTGAGCCGGTGTCGTGTCTGCTGCTCCTGAGCTGGTGTCTTGTCTGCTGCTCCTGAGCCGGCGTCGGTGGCTCTTTCTGAGCCGGTGTCGGTTCTTAAGCCTCCGCCCTGGCCACCCGAAGGGTCTTCTCCGCCCTGGCCGCCCGAAGGGTCTTCTCCGCCCTGGCCGCCCGAAGGGTCTTCTCCGCCCTGGCCGCCCGAAGGGTCTTCTCCGCCCTGGCCGCCCGAAGGGTCTTCTCCGCCCTGGCCACCTAAGGTGACATCTCCCTCGGATTTCCCACGTTCCTCCCTCCTCTTGAACTCTTGTATTGTTTTTTTGTCCGTTATGGAGCGTCTAGTAGCCACTCCGTAGAGAGGGGGTACTGTCACAGTGTCTGGTTGTGTTTCCCTGGGTTGTCACTAGAGGTCCTCGTTCTCACGGTGTCTTTCACATTTGACTTCATTTCCCAGCATTCTGTCTGTCACTCATCAGTTCATTGCACTCAGCTGTTTCCCATCACCTTGTTAGATCTGTGTGTATATATTCCCTGTCTGTGTTAGTATTCGTTACGGAGTCCTTGTTATATGTCGCCACTTCCGAGGTCTTTTTACCTGCTTGTTTTTGTTCTTATGTTTTGATTGATTTTTGATATTTGACCCCTGGCTGGATGACTATGATTTTAGATTGCCCTCATTATTAAACTTACTGCAATTGGATTTTCTGCTTCCCGTGTGTAGTTCGTGACATTTATAGCTGGTCCACACTTTTTAAAATGTATGAAGGTGTCTGGGTTTAGTTAAAGTAAAACTACTTAAACAAAAGACTATTGTTAAACTTGCAAGTGATAAATGTGGAGCAAATGATCATGTTGATTTTGTGCCTTTCTGCTTTTATTGCTTTTCTTCTCCAGCTAATGTCTGTTCTGTGTTTCTCTGTTTCTGTTTGCTGATGTGAAGGGAGTGATGAAGTGAGGACAGTGTCAGTGATTCAAGGAGAACCTATTACTCTAAACCCTGATGGAGAACATAAAGACGACAAATTAATGTGGATGTTTAGAGGCGTTTGTATTGCTGAAAGGAAAATCTCTGTACCTGATGATGTTCCTGATGGAAGATTCAGAGTCAGACCGAAGCTGGACGATCAAACTGGATCTCTGACCATCACAGACACCACAACTGAACATACTGGAGTTTATGAACTACTGACCAGCAGACCGGGAAAGAGCTCAATAAAGAAATTCATAGTTTGTGTCTTTGGTGAGTTACTGAAGACCTCGACAACTATCTGACAGTGTAACATTCAGTGATGGCACATTATTTATCAGCACATCAGCACAAGAAAATCATCAAATCGCATCAGTCTTTTGATAGAAAGTAAAAATTATCAGAAGTTTTTCAAGCTCACCACTATAAATGTATAAAGTGTAGAGTTAATCAGGATAAAACCATTATTAATGGAACAATGAAAAGAGAAAACAAAGAGGAATGTAAAACAAACCACAATGAAACATGATATTCAATAAAAAATGATATTGTTTACTGGCATAACCACAATATACATCAATTAACACACTGATGATCACACATGAATCAGAGAATATGATTGGTCCAACACAAAAATCACAACAAACATGAGAATTGAGGCCTTTTGACTTGTTTAATAGATTTATACCATAATTTAGATTTGTATATAAAATGAGAAATTACATTAATTTAATTTATAAAATGACTACATTTTAGGTTTTTAGGTATGGAGGAATTTATCCATGTTGCTTTTATTACTTTGTTTTCTTTTTCTGTTTTCTGTTCTGTTTCTCTCTGTTTCTATGTGTAGATCAGACAGATGATATAAAGACAGTGTCAGTGAAAAAGGGAGAATCTGTCAAACTGGAGACTGGTGTTGATGACATAAAGACATTTGAAGAGATCCTGTGGAGGTTTGGACTATTCACTCTCCTGGCTGAACTCAGAGGAGGGACAAACATCTCACCATTGGAAGACAGAGTGAAGATGGATCATCAGACCGGATCACTGACCATCAATAAGTTCAGACCCACAGATGCTGGAATTTATATGCTACGCAAAATTGAAGGAGGAAATATCACAACTAATTTATTCAGGGTAGAAATCGGTGAGTAAATCAAATATGTCAGTATAATAACAATCTTATTTTAGATCAACCCTGTCAGACATTTAGATGAATGACTGAGTTTGTATGATGACACTCTGATTTCTGTCAGAACAGACTCTGTCACTGTGTGTGTATAATTGTAAATGATTGTGTTAATATTAAGAAATCTAAATGCAAGTCAACTCCTCCTTACTCTCTCTCTCTCTCTAAAAAAGCAAAGATTTCCTTTAACATGATCTGTCTCGTGTGTTTTCTTTCAGAATCCACTGATAACATAAATAACCCAGTGGAGGAAAGTGTGAGAAGTATGTATCCAGTGTAACATTATCATCATTAATAATAAATCAAAATCAACTCTCCTTACTATATATATATATATATATATATATATATATATATATATATATATAAAAGCAAAGCTTTTCTTTAATATGATCTGTCTCGTATATTTTCTTTCAGGAAATAACTCAGAGAATGTGCCTTTGATGAGAATAGAAGTTCCCTGACTCCGGACTGTGACATTATCAACATTCAAAATCAATAAAAATCAGATTTGTCCTCATGTGAGTCTCTAAATACCGTATGAAGGAGATCTAGCTGTGTTTGTGATGTTGAGCTGTGCAGTTTAACAACAGGATAACATACAGACATATTTCATGTACTATGTTCTTCATACTAACTCTCATCTTTATTTTATCCTCTAATGTAAATCTAATCAAAATATCACGTGTCATAACTGTTACTCATTGCATATAATCAGGGTTTGCTCAGTTAGTGATGAACATATTCATACTTGTGAACCCGGTCAGACTATGATCAGCCTTGGCCTTGGTGCGCGCCCCCACGTGGAGTATGAGTCTCACGGGCTCTAGTCCAAGTGTAGTGGGAAGTGGGAACCGCGACCTCAGACTCCAGACTGGGAAAAATTGGTGGCTGGTACCCTAAACTACACTCAAACGGAGACAGACCCGTGGATGACACTGGTAATGTGTTGTGTGCGTACTCCACCATAGACAGTTGTTGACTCCATGAGGAAGGGTTCTTGGAAACCAAACATCGCAACACCCTTTCCAGATCCTGGTTGGCTCTCTCGGTTTGGCCATTGCTCTGGGGATGAAACCCTGAGGACAGACTAACAGTCGCTCCCAGTAACCTACAAAACTCTGAAAAAAATTTGGACACGAACTGGGGTCCTCTGTCGGAGACCACGTCTATTGGGAGGCCATGTAAGCGAAAGACGTGATCAACGACTGTCAACGCTGTCTCCTTAGCTAAGGGTAATTTGGGTAAAAAGTGGATAAGGGATAAAGTGTGCCGCCTTCGAGAATCGGTCCACCACGGTTAAAACAACCGTGTTACCCTGGGAGGGTGGGAGGGCGGTGATAAAATCTAGAGCGATATGGGACCAGGGTTTCGATGGGACAGGCAGCGGTTGAAGTAACCCATCTGGGGGTCGATTGGAAGTCTTACCAGTGGCACAAACCGAGCAAGCCAAAACAAAACTGTGAATGTCACGAGCCATGAGTGGCCACCAGAACCGTTGCTTGACTAAAAAACTAGTGCGATTAACTCCTGGATGACAAGCCACGTTGGAACAATGACCCCACTGAATAACGTCAGACCGTAATCCCTCCGGCACAAATAAGCGATTCGGTGGGCAACCGGGCGGAGGCATTACCCCTTCTAAGGCCGTTATGACCCTCGATTTCACCTGCCATATGTGTGGAGATAAATAGATTCTCGGGCAAAATGCACTCGGGAGTAGACGGGCGTTCAGAGCGATCAAAAATGCACAACAAAGAATCGGGTTTGATGTTCTTGGAACCCGGGCGGTACAAGAGAGTAAAATCAAAACGTCAGAAAAAAGTGCCCACCGAGCCTGCCTTGTGCCCCTGACCCTTCTAACCAGTGGCGCCATTCCTCCAACGCTAATTTGACTGCCAACAACTCTCGGTTACCAATGTCATAATTACGTTCAGCATGGGACAAATGATGCGACAAAAACGTGCACGGATGCATTCTGTCGTCTGTGGGAGAATGCTGGGATTTCACTGCACCTACCCCCAACTCTGACCCGTCGACCTCTACCACGAACTGACGTGATGTATCAGGGGCAATGAGGATGGGAGCCGAAACGAAGCGGCCTTTCAGTTTGGCAAACACTGCCTCAGTAGCGTCTGACCACCTGAACGTAGTTCTGGGTGAGGTCAAAACGGTCCCTACTTCCAGAGTCACTGTCGAGCCCTCTTGAGGTGTCGTTGTCACGGTATACAAATTCATTGCTTCTCGTCTTGTGTTTATGTTGTTGTATGAAAGCACGTGTGTAGTGTGTGACTGAGTGTTATTCCTTGATCTGCTCCAGCTGATCACCATCTCATCACCAGCTGCAGCCGATCTCATCACTCTATATATATACTCACTGTTGTCTCATCCCCTTTGTCAGATCGTTGTTTGGTGTCTCGTGTGTTGGCTTTCCAGTCCTGTCTTCCTGCTTTCCTATGTTCGTGTGCCTGTGGATTTCATCGTCTTAATGTGGATTATCGTCGTCTTGGTGTGGGATTCGTCGTCTTCGTGTCACCTCCTCACTGCACGGTTTCCCATTCTGACCATCGAAGTCCCTGCGCCATCTGACCACACCCGTGTCCCGCTGCTGTATCTCTCACCTTTAAATAAATCTGAGTTTACTTGAATTTGCTTCCTGTCCTCTATTGATGAACATGACAGTCGTGGGCTAGTCGGCGAAACACTGAGGACGGAAGGTGCCCACTTGAAGACCCTAGAGATGTCCCCTACTCGGCTCAATCCAGACGGTTGTCGTGCTGGTCCTGTAGTTGCAGCCGTCGTGTGTGCTGACGCGCCAAGTACACTGCAGCCGTTAACGCCGGACAGAAGGGGAGTCACACCACCATATGGAAAGAAGCGTAAATGGATGGAGAAGCATAGTTTACTGTAAAGCTACGTCTTAGTTTGTGCTTATCTTGGCGAAAGCCGAGTACAAATCAGCATGACGTTTTAACATCTACTCTTGTGTAATGGAAATCATGCATATAATGCATATTGGAAAAACCACGTATGATTTCTGAGAGAGAGAGGTCAAAGGGCATGTCTCGTCAAACTGACAGTTTTATTGCCCCCTATAAAAGAGTTTCTCACGCCGTCCCCCCATCGCCCTCACCCCTCCCTCCCACTTCCAGATGTACATTTACAGCTCATCCCACTCCTTATGGTCTAATCAAATGAAGCGTGGGAAATTTTCCCACGATTACTATGTGTCAATGTAAAAATGTTCAAAGTGATGGAAAAACATTCAAAACAATATATTTTCATCTTTTTAAAGAAAATGTACAATAGAGTCAGAGGTAAGATCAGTGTTGTTGTTTTTTTTATTAAAGAAGAGAATTGTACTTTCGCATTTATATTTGAAGTTGTACTTCAGTTCAAAATTACATATAAAAAATACATTAAAACAATGTATATTATTAAAACGCATAAATTTTAAACATTTTAAAAAGTCAATTTCCAGTCATTTGAAAACATTTCTTTTTGTAAAAGTTAAAAAGTTAGTTTTTTCCTCCACACAGACATTTGTAAATTGTTTAAAAAAAGCATGAATTGCAAACTTGTTCTAGAATTAAAATGTATTGAAATTATATCATGCAAATTTTCCTAACATATGTTTGAAGAAAAAGTTGTACTTTCACAATTGCATAAAGGCATTAAAAACATTGTATAAAGTTAAAATATAAATGTCTTTAACGGTCATACATTTGTAAAATGTTTTTAAAAAAAAATTTTTTTTTGTTTTTTAAATTAAGCAATAATATATAATACATATAATATTACATATAAAAGTATAATATTGGCTTATTACAGTACTTTGGCTCTGACAATGAAATGTCTTTTCTGAGAACATTTCCAAAAATAAGCACCATGATACACTTCTGTTGCAAACATCTCAAGAGTATAATACATGCATAGACCTATAATAATAAATGCATGTTGTGGTATTACCAGTAAACACAAGTTCAAGGAAAATTCACCTGATAATGAAAATTTGTTGAAAATGAACTCACTCTCGGGTCATCCAAGATGACCTTTTCTCCAGTGTCTTTCCTGAGATTTAGAGTTTGATAAAGAACACAATGGAGATATTTCATGGATCAATCCTTGCAGGATTTGAACCTTTAACCGCAAATCTATCTCACAAATCGACCTGCATGTTGTTTGATTGACAGTTTCTATAAAAGAGCATTTTCTTGTTAAAAATGTAATGTTAAAAATGTACTCCTTCATGCAGTTTTCAAGCTATGACCATCAAACTTGAACACAGACCCTCAGACTGTTCTGACTCTGTGTGGTGTTGCCTATATCTTTTCTAACTGATCCGATGTACGGGATTCCTGTATTGGATTTCCAAACAGGCCCTAATTACCATAGACTTTGAGGGGGTGAAAACTTTTCTTATATGTTATTTCCTATAGAGTATTTAACAGGTTAGTCCACCCAAAAATGAAATTTCACACATTAATTACTCTCCCTCATGTCGTTCCAAACCCTTAATCTTGGGAACACAAATGAAGATATTTTTGATGAAATCTGAGAGGTTTCTGACCCCTGTGAAGTGACGAGAATACTTTTTGTGCTAAACCCCAAAAATAACGACTTTATTCAACAATCTCTTCTCTCCCATGTAATTCTCCTCCGCTGTCGATGTAGTATTGTAAACATTGCAGCTCTTCCTGGTTCTAGGTCAGCTCATTATTGGCCGTCTCCTGCATCAGCATCACACGCATACGTCTGGGTGATCACATGATCAGCGTCGGCCAATAGTCATTTAAAACCAAACAAATGTCTTGTCTGTCAGTGATGAAGAAGGATTTATTAAGCTGAACTTATTTGTGAATTACTCTTTACTGCAGATAAAACCATTTTTAGACCTGGTCCTGAACATTAAAAAATATACACAAAAATATTTAAAGTTTTTTTATTAATTTTCCTAAAGTTAGATTCTAACTATAATTGATTGCCCGACCTGTTAACAGTAGAGCTATTCTTGTAGAGGTTAATTAATATTTTGCACACTAGAGAGTGCTCGTCTAATAGTGTAAGCACATGTATTATGACTCTAATAACAGGGGCTCAGAGTTTAGCAGGTTAGCATAGCCTTGTTAGGCCCTGCTGTTAGATACTGTAATTATACCATTATGTACGCAAACATCATCTTTCCTTTGATGGTTATTAAATAGTAGTAAATTATTTTTGGATGCCTTTAATAGTGTAAAATAGATGTGTGTTTTTCCACTGTCTGCTGAAGGAAGTTTTAAGATAGCCTAGAGCTATCAGAGAGTGATTTATGATCCAGGCGGTGGCGTCGGTCATAGTGGTTCAAAAAAAGTTTGCTACTGGAAAAGCATCACTGTTTAAAACAATGACTCAATTGCAATGCATTTTTTTTATTTTTTTTATTTACTTATTTTTATAATGATTGTTTCTTTGACATTAACAGATTGTCACGACCTCCCCGTCTAGGAATGCCAATGACAAAAAAAGAAACAATTGGAT